GGGCGGAAAGGGCTGGATCAGGATTGTTGAGGTTGAGGAGGTTACTGGAGTAGTACCTACTAAGATGGATACTTCCAGCTTTGGGTAGCTATTCTATTTGTTTTATTACCTCTATACCTTTATCACTTTTGAGGGGGTGTTTATGGGATTGATGGAGACTTGTCGGTTTGTTGACACCTCGTGTAACGACACTCAAGACGAGTGCCTAGCAACAGTTACCACCGCCCATTCACAATCATCACCCCCCCTCCCCCCAACAACGGCAACCAGTTGCTGCCTCTTCCCAAGCGATTCGACTCCGACAATAACGGCTAAGCGGTAATGAGATATGGTTAATGATTCCAGACAAAGCCTTGGGTGTGCGGGAAAGCTCTCTTTCTCGTACAACCTAACCTAGCTAACGGAAAGGACAACACAACACAGTCATCTTCCTATCCTTCCATCAATCGCTAGACATATCCATTCTCCGCGACACACCCCCGTGCTAACGAAGGAGCATATGCTTCCGACGCTCCCAGCATCCATCCAACACTCCCAGCACCCGTTCGACGCAGAAAGCCTCTTCACGAGGGCTCTCAGCTACGGCAGCTCCAGACCATAGCTTTCCGGCGATGACCGGGGGTCATTGGCACAGCCTCAGAGCGCCGAGAGCCTTAGGCATATAACTAGAACGCATCGTCACTCGCATAACCGGCAGACAAAGGGTAGCTGTAGGGCAGAATCGAAGAGTGAGATTGGGAAGCATAGATGGGAGGAGGGGGAGCGGTTAGTGCTATCGCATGGAGGTAACGGCGATAAATGAAGAAGGAATTTCGGATTCATATATTTAAAGACACCTATCCACAGCAGGTAAAGTAGCCAGACGGAATTAAGGCTAAGACATATTCTTCGACCATCCAAGCTTCTAGTGCGCGTGGGGTCACCGAATAGACTCTAGACAATGATAGCCAAATGCATAATCACAGCATACCACAAGGCCACAGGCCCCACAATCATATATCTGATCAGCGTAGATGAATTACAGAGATAGGCCACTGGGTGAGAGGTGGAGTGAGAGGGCAGGGGCGGCGGAAACGGCGATCGGTGGATGATCTAGCTAAGGGCTGAGTAAGAGATATATATCTCCAAGGTGCGAATGGCCAGGGAAAACAACGAACTCTAAAGAAACACTCCCGACACCCCCTGATCCACCACGGACTATGCCCACGGGCATAGGTTGTAAGCGAAGCACACCACTGCCATCCTCCATCCGACCGCTCGCCAGGCGCAGCTCAAGCTCACATTCCCGATAACCACTTCTCCGCCTAATAGCATATCCATACAGCAGCATGCCCTCCGGGAAATCCAACACAACAGAGGGCAGATACATTTCATCATCCAAATAAGCTAATCTAATCTCTCAGAAAGGATTCAGAATTGGAACGCTCGTTCCGGAGATGAGGGAGAGATGCGCCATTCATAGAATCACGCTTCCGCTTGCGTGTCTGCCCTCTCCCGGCACCTGCCTCTGTCTGACCCCTGAAAACATGCCGCAGTAGGGACTCATGCATAGTTGAAACCGGGCAGAGTCGGGAACTGGTCCAGAGCCTCGTAGAGTGGATTAGCTTGCGACCACGGATGCCCGCAATCGAACCCGCGGGAAAGTGAAAGCACCGTTCCAAATCGAATACACAAACCCAGCCCCTTCAAACTGTCCCAATGGCATACTCATGGTCCAGTCAAGGTCGCTCTGGTCCAGGTGTGGTTCAGTTACGACATTGATGAGGCATGCCGTAGGGAAAAGCACTCCTTGTCATAATTGGTCCAGAGATTCCGGAAGTGATGAGGTAATAGTTCAATAGCGGACTGCATTGCACCGTGTTGTAGCCTATCAATAGCCCCGAGAAGTAACCGCTTAAGCCGTGTGATATTCTGGAATGAGGCAAGGAGCGCTTGTAAATCTCGGCGTGTATTTGAACCGACGTCGTTTGTATCCCTAGTCAAAGCCGACCCTAGGGCCTCATGTCCCTGTTGTGCCTAAATACCCCAATGGAACACCCCACAGCGCGAGCTCGGATAGGCATAGTGCTGTGGGTTTCGCAGGAGCCAGTCCTCGATATTATTGTGCCTTATGCTGCTGGGAAGCTTTGGGGGCTGAATCTCACAGTACTTGGTAATGTTATCTGTAGCCTGCTTCACCATCCTTTCCCCAATCTCCTCACCGTAGATAGCGGAGGCTAGATTGGCAAATACAACCAGAAGGCGGCGATAGTTGCGATCCAGGGCCACATACAGCCCACCTGCACTAATGTCGACCTGCTGATATTAGGCCCCGAGCGTATCGCTCTGGTCTAGGGATAGTGCTTGCAGGGCCGCCAGGTGTGGACGGGAATTGAGCGTCTCGATATCTATATTGAGGAAGACCTCGATAATGTTTCCTAAGAATGTGTCATTCGAGTATTCAGTGACATGTACTACACAACTGCTATTGTATACCACCAAGGCCTTAAGGATCCAGGCGAATCTTTGTCCATATGTAATAGCAGCTGTGTTCACAAACGTCTGAAGGATACGGGTAGACGGAGGGTGGGCCGCGGGGCTTAAGCCCTGGCTTACCCTGGTTGCGCTGAATAAGGCGGAACACCTTCTCACACCTCCCCTTAGCCACCTCACAGGCTGCCCGGTCCTCTCGGGTCAGGGAAATTCGCTTCTCAAACCAACCTTCCAATTCGCTATCGGTCCTTGGCCTAAGCCTTGGATGCTTGCCCTTAGGCTTGGAGAGCTTTATTGAGGCAGACCCCCCATCGGCACGGGACTTCAACGTAGGATAGAGCGTGGTATCGATTGTTACCGGCACCTTGCTCCCCGGGCTTTGCCTTATCCCGGTGGGTGTTCGGTGGTAGGGGGGACGTATAAGGCTTCCCGGTGTACTATTATTGGTAGGTTGCCACGGGAGTTGAGAAAGATGAAGCATGGTATAGTTCCTTTCGAATCGTAGAGCACAAAGGGGTCTGTTGAGAACACGGTCAATTCCAGTATCGCGAGTCTCTGCACAAAGGAGAGGCTCTACAATCAGATCTAAACTAATCGGAATGCCAATTCTCGTGACCCGACGAATCGCACAACACAGTCCCAAAGGTATACCAGCTGTGAAGCCCTATATAGAGAGATGTACACTGGTTTGTAGCTTTCTCCCTCTGCCGCTCCTGAGTGGTTGGTCAGAAATAAGGTTCACAGAGGGAATCCCACGAGCCTGGTGCAAATAAAATTGGAGGGACCTGATGTAATGGTTTGGCTGTGGGAGGGCATAGAGAGCTTGTAGGTACACTCGGGAAGGTGCGGGGATCAGGAGGGGGGTGGGGGATAAACTAGCACCTAGGGTGTGCGTAAACGCCGGGGTGTAAATAAAAGGAGGATGGGCAGGCCTGTCACCACTATGGGGTGCGGTCAACCCTCATGTGAGGTATCATATGTAACTACATTCAGAGCTTGGTAGCCAAGCCTGACCCCACTGCGACTGGCCTTGGCGAGCTTGACAGTGAAAGGTGGTGTGGCCGACACTCACAAGTGGTGCATGACTGACCTCGGTGAGCTTGATACTTGTACTACGGTACTCGTCCCAAGCAAGAATTACTTGTATGGTACCACTATTCAGATACGCACGGAACCTTTGCCATACTCGAGTATATTTTGCGAATCCCGGTCTTATCCCTGACTTAGAATACCGGTACTGGAGTACTCCTTGCCTGGGCCGAGTAATGATATGGGAGACTATTAACGGGGGGCTCATCGTACTGGAATAATTTGGTGGGCGCTTGGCAGCCTCTATGTTACAACGCCCAATCCGGTGTCACCGGCGCTCGAGTACATAGTCCATGGGCCAGGATTGGGCTGACAATGGAAAGGATGGCCTGTTGAGGGATCGTAAGCTGGCCGATTGTTCGGCAAGGATGGACCAGGGTTGATGGATGTACTGGCTGGGGAAGCGGGTGGTCGAGTTGTCAGATTCGAGTGATGGATGGAGGTACTAGTACAATAGGTTGGGAGAGGGAGAGGCAGAGGAAACAGAGGCCTGGCGGGAGGTGAAAGAAAGTGAGGAGGGAGCCGACGGTCCCTTGGGGTCTCACATTCATTCATTTCAAGGAGAGTTTGGTGCAATAAGGTAGATGAGCTAGTGTCCCACAAAAAGAACGAAAAAGTGCCCGAACACATCTTGAGGCTGATGTACTAGTACGCAGTTTACAGGGCCAATCTCGGTGTTTACCCCCCCCCAATGTTCGGGTACTTTTCAAGTACCAAACTGGTCACGGTCCCGACACTAAGCACAAGATCAGGGTCCCGACGAGAATCGTGAATACAGCCAGAGATATCAAGATAGCCTTGTCTGATGCTGGCGGGCCAGTGTATGTGATATGCTGATGATGAAATTCGTGGTGGGAAAAAGTCAGGTGAACTCTTGGCACGATGGGTACAAGTATGATAATAACCTTGGCATGGTTATAGACCTACGGTAGGTATGATACAAGAATAAGTTTGCGCAACAGGTGTAGGTAGCTTAGCAGCCAGGTGACGGTAGAATCAGTATCAGAAATCATACAGAATATCTACGTTAAAAAGAGAAGGAAAAAAAAAAAAGACATGAAAAGGGTCACAAAACAACCCAAGGTAAGCAACCTCCAGCTATAATGCTTGCCACACATTTCTACACAGGCGAAATGTTTGATGACCCTAGCACTTTGTAGAAACCCTTCCCTTACCCGCCCAAAAGCAACAACCCCAAGCCACAGGACAATAGCTAGCCTAATGATAGGTGCGAAGAGAGATAATATATCCAGAAAACCGCCCATTGAATGGCATTTTTTATTAGCACGTCTAGTTGATAGTCCCGTTCATGACGATTTTTCACTTGCAAAATCTCAGCTGCGATACTGCCCAGCCGGTAGAAAATGTAACGATAACGTGGCCAGTATCATTAAATCATCAGCCGCAGAATCGCCCCGGGGCCGAGACAGCGGCCCTTATGAAACCCCCCGCAACCTAGTGGCTATCTCTAACTCAAATCTTTCTCGTCCATACGGGCCAGCATTGATCTCACCCACCATATCGGTCCCCGGTGGGAAGTCGTGCTCGAAGGTCGGTTCTCCTGCTCCTCTGACATTCGCTAGGATCGATTGGCGGAAATGCCACCTTAGAAGCTGATCGGACACATGGTGGGGATCGGCGGGGTTTTGGCATGCAGGATCAAGAATTCTACCGTCCCATTGAAGAAAATCGATGGTAAACACAACTACCTTGTAACCATCGTCCGGATTAACGGAGATCAGGTACTGATTGAACATTTGCCGAGCAGTACTCTGGAGAAGGAATCCGTTTTGAGGTGAGTTGATCTTCGAAGATCTGTTGGCATCGTCCATGTCGGTGATCCACCGTTGATAATCAGACTGTATCCAAAGACTTTCATGCTCGGAGGGGAAGATATGGACAGCCTCGAAAGCTATCCAGCTGTCGGCCTGGATAAGGATTTCAGGATTTGATAGTCCCGAAATAACACATTTTCTGTCGCGATGGCGGACTTTATGACAGAATCCATGTTCTCCAACGGGCTCAACATGAGAAATTAACCGGTGTGTCCAAGGGTCATCACTGACTTGGATGATAGCTGGGGGAATTAGCAATTGGGCTGCCTATTAAATAGGGCGAATATAGCACATACCATCACAATAAATATCGTATACTCCCGTTTCGAGTTGCATGTCTGTTCTGGATATGAGATGGCTTGATATCCTCTCTTGAACACGTAGAGGACCCCCCGTAACGACAAGTAAGATTTCGAGGATGTCAAGAAAGTTTGCCTCGGTTATAGAGCCATTCTGGAAGAACCCTCCAAGGACTACATCAGGGCGGGCGGCATCATAAAAAGAGACATTGCGTTGGCAGCGACCCAAGGGCATTGTTGGTATTAGTGATTATCGTAAACGTGATAGCGGGAGTGGCTTGGAAAAAGGTGTAGGACAGAGGTCGGGAGATTCTGGAATGCCTATATTTCTAAAGGCCTTTTAGAATAGATGTATTGGGGGTGGTGAGATAAAGTTTTGAAGAGCTCAGGGGGGTAAAGCGGACGTGGTGGGTTTCTTGACAGAAGTGGGGGTGGTGAGATAAAGTTTTGTAGAGCTCAGGGGAGTTAAGAGGAAGTAGTGTGTTTCTTGACAGAAGTAGAGGTGGCCTTGGTTATGTAAGCATATCTTGTTACGTCCTCGGGCATCCATATTATTTTGAAAAAAAAAAAAAAGTCTACACTTGTATCAGCAAACCTACACTACGGTAGTTGGCTCCAGGGCCTTCTCCTCCCCTCAAAGAATTGTGTTAGCTCCAACCGCTGCCCCAGGAGTTCGGCGGAATTTTTACCTCTACTGGAAATTAGTATAAATGGCCAGTTTGACTGCATAATGCGCATTACACCAACATAATTTTTACCAAGTTTGATGGTCTTTTTTTGCTTTCATTTGATCTCTTCAAACTTTGACCATTTCTGCCTTTCCGAACTAAAATACAAGCATGAGAGCATCTGCTCAAAACCGTAATGGGCCTACAGAGTTATATACTTCCTTGCCCAAACCCTAGCTCTCAGTCATCAGAATCCGAATCCCCTCCTAACAAACTGCACAAGCTCGCCACATCCCTCCTAAACAAGCCCCTGATCATCTCCGACATCTCCAACTCCTTCCCCACCACCAGGACAGCTAAACTAACAACAACAATCCTTTTTGTTCCCTTATCTGCCTGTATGGCAGCGGCCCAACCACTTGACAAGAGCTAGCTTAAAGTTAAGTACCAGCAAAGAAAGTAAAATAGGAAAAACCCTTTATTGAAATGTATCCTTACCAGCCCATCTGTGCGGTATTTCCCTTCCTGATACCTCTTTGCTCCCAATATCACTCCTGCAATCCAACCAGGCCTCCGGAAAAATAATAATAATGACTGCTCGGCCATGCTTATTTAAATCCACAAGTGTAAAACCTTTCCGGGATGGAAGGGGTTGCACTTAGGAAACCTCTCTCAACCCGGTAGCTATCACCAACTCGGATCTTGCCTGGGAATCCATACCAGCAAGCACCTTACCTGCTGTGTCGGTCACCGGTGGGAAGTTGTGCCCAAATATTAGTTCCCCTGTGCCTCTCGTGTTCGCAAGGACTGATTGGCGGAAATGCCATCTCAGAAGATTGTCGGAAATGAGGTAGGGATCAGCAGGATTTCGGCACACGGGATCAACAATTCTACCATCACATCCAATAAAATTGATGGTAAACACAACTACCTTGTAACCGTCGTCCGGGTTAATGGAGATGAGGTCCTGAGAGAACATTGCGTGCACTTCTCTCCGGAGAAGAAACCCATTTCGAGTTGAGTTGATCTTGGAGGCTCCAACAGCATCGTCCATGTCTGTGATCCATCGTCTATAATTAAATTGGACCCAATGACTTTCATGTCGGAGGGGAAAGATATGGGCAGCCTCGAAAGCGTTCCAATTATTGGACTAGATAAAGATTTCAGGAATCGAAATTCCAGAAATGACACATTTCCAGTTGTGATAACGGATATAAATACGGAAACTATCCTCTCTCTGTGTGATTCCATAGGAAATCAACCTCTGTACCCAAGGCTCAGTGCTGACTTAGATAGAGGCTAGGAAAATCAGCAATTAGGCCACCGAGTAAATGGGGGGAATGTAGCACATACCTTCACAATAAATATCGTATACTCCCACTTGAAGGGGCACTTCCATTCTGAATACAAGGTGGCTCGACATCCGCTCTTAAACACGAATTGGACTTACCCCAACAACAAGTAAGATTTCAAGAATGTCAAGAAAGTTTGTCTCGGTTATAGACCCATTCTAGACAAGCCCTCCAAGAACCTCATCAGGATTAGTAGCATCATAAAATTTGACATCGGGTGGGAGAGAGTGATTTAAAGAAATTGTTAGTATTGGTGATTGCTGTGAACATAATCAGGGGGGGAGTGGCTTGAGAACAGGTGTAATCAAGTGGTCGAGAATTCTCTCGGGCATGTAATACTAAATATCTCTTAGAATAGACGTAGTCAGAGTGGTAAGATAAAGATTTTGCGGAGGTCGAAGGGGAGTTGGTGGATAGTCTGGCAAGCCTGCTTGCTCGAAAGAAGTACGTAGCAATGATTGTCTATCCAGTTTTGCCAACTAGACACCCCCTATTTTCGAACTAATACGATTCACTTGAGAGTACAAGATCGTGTCTTGGCGTTGGCAGGGGTTTGATATAGCAAAGAAAATTCATTGCACTTGGGCATCAATATAATCAGTTGGGCAACAGGAGACAGATCCTCTTTAACCATTTCAAATATAATCAGTATAAACTAGGGTCTCTGGCGGATGTTGCTCTCAGAATTTCTATATAAATTTAGTTGGGAGCCAAGACATTGCTACACTTTTTCCTACACCCGCGATGAAAGTAGCGGTATAGTGGACTTTAGCGGTATCTGCCATGTTGGTTTGCTACCTGCACACCCCAACTTTTGTCCAGCTTCCAGGGATATCTCAGACTGACTAGACTCAATAACTCCCCCTCCTCTACTATAGTGCGGGCAGCAAAGACCGGAGGATGTCTCAATATACCACCAATCCCAACTTCTACAGCACTTGTAACTCTCTGAATGTGGAATAATTCTACTGATACTAATGATTGCTCTCAACTCCTAGTCTAGCCTCATCCTTAGCTATATATTCGGAAGTGCCTCACTGGGAGACGTTACCTACCAGAGTAAACAGGCAGCACATGAGTAAGAGTCAGAAACAAACTAGTACCTCAGCGTCCAACCAGGAGGCTATCGACCAAAGTATCGAGAGGAGATTCGAGGTTTTGGCCGGTATGGCCAGCACACCCAAGGGCCCTGGCCCCTGGGCCCGGGGTACCGCCCCGTGGATCCCCCGCTCCGACAGTACCAGCCTCCGCTCCACTCCGGCCAGCAGCTGGTACATCCCCGGCACCGAGTCTGGCACAGGCCCACATCGCCCCCTAGCGCCAGCCACCGGGTACACCACAGGCCACCGGCACGGCCCCGCCTCTGGGTACAGTGTCAGGGGGTCTAGCACCACCGCCCGGAGCCTCCTAGCAGCAACCAGCGGGCCCCACTACACCCACCGGCCCTCGGCACCAACCACCTGGTATACCACAGGCCACCGGCACGACCCAGCCCCTGCGTATAGTGTTAGCGGGTCTGGCACCACCCCCCGGCGCCTCCTGGTAGCAACTAGCGGGTCTTACAACACCTACCGGCTCTTGGCATCAACCACCGGGTATGCCATAGGCCACCGGCGCGGCCCCGTCTCTGGGTATAGTATTAGCGGGTTAGGTGGCACCCCCCGGCGCCTCCTGGAAGCATTCGGCGGGTCTGGCACCACCCCCCTTGCCCACCTGGCAGCAACCAGCGGGTATGTCCCAGGCTACCGGTATGCACACGGCGCCGCGAGCACGGGGGGTGCTCCAGGCCCTAACTACACAGGCGGCCCAGGCCACCGGGACAAAGCCCACGGCCCAAAACTCGTCAAGAGACAGGAAGCGCCTCGCCCGCATTGTAGACCGTGCCAGCAGTCACATGCAAAGCAACTAAGCCGCCGGCACTCTCCCAGTTCCCAACCCCCCGGGCCAACACGCTTCCAGCCGACTATAGACGCAACGCCAATGCCAGCAGGGGCAAGACGCCGGACGCCGACTTCACGAACGACGAACTCCAACAGGACCAGGTGTTTTCTGTGCCAACATCCAGCATCGAGGGTATGGGTCGGGTGGTCGCGTACCAAAAAATAGGGTTTGGCCGCAGCGTAATAGTTGCGACTAGGACCATGCCGGTTCTGCAAGTATCATATACGGCCCGCCCGAGATTACGGCATTGGCCACACCAAGACCGATATCCCACTAGTCACCCCCAGGCCGAATGCCCATAGAAAAGGGTTCGCCCTTGCTAGGATAGCCTACGCGGATAAAGGTGATGCTCGCCCTGCCTGTTTGAATCCCGGAATGCGTCTAATGCCAAGAACCTATATCAAGGTCAACTGGGATGACGGTACACCTGACACATGGGAAACGAGAACCATACTCCGGAAGTTAATGGGCAAGGCAGTGGCTGACCAGGCCATCTTTGACTGCGCATCCCAATTTGAGTGGGACGCGCGAGTGTTTATGACGAACCACCCAGGTTGGGATCAGGGGGATTTGGTTACAGTGAAGAGTGAGCCGGGCGTGGAACAGGATGAGGCCTCCGATGATGAGGACGTGGAGTTGTAGGGGATTTAGGTGTAGCTCTGTATCATCGCATATCATATCATGCTCGTGGAGAGCGTAGCCTTGATAATCGGGCGATATTCAAATGAGACCGGAAGTCTGATGTAGCAACTCTAAAAGGCACAACGGTAGAGTGCTAAAAATGAAAATAAGCGGTAGGATAAGATGGTAAAGGTGGTGGAAGATGGTGATCGATAATAATCTAACTAAAAACACAACAGGAGATATATATCTCTAAAGCAACAAGAACTTCTAAAACTCCAAAGAACGACAACGATCAAGAACCACACCATCCTGAGATATCATGATCCTCCACAACCTCTGACAACCTAGAATGATCCTGAGCCAAACTACCCTGTGCCTAATAGCATAGGGTGTGTGAAAGAAACGACACAAAACCACCGGAAATAACCCATATCCTATGCCAACCAGGTTAAGATATGAAAGAAACAAAACACTGCGCTCTGGCTCTGCACGGCACACCACAAAAATGTGTGCCCAATAGCCTCATAACCGCCTAACCGCATATACGCCTAACCCCATGCCCTATAGGCAATCCAACAAAGTCTAGTATATGTTAAATGGCATAGACCCTGCCTTGCTCTTGTACCTCTGTGCTTCGTGTATACACTGCCCACGGAGGGGCCAGGCTCACAACGTCACGGTGTCTCTATATAGAAGGGGCGATGGGGAGGCACAAGGCGAATACATGTATTGGAGTTTATCCGCTACTGTAGCTGTTATCTACCTCTCCATTCCAAAGGTATTCCGAAACCTTGATACGGCTTGCGCCTGTCACACGCCAGGATTGCAGGATACCTTTGAAATGGGCATTCCGTATGCCCAACAGCTATGCCCAACAAGGACCCTGCTATCAATCCCAGTATTCCGCTTGTAGAATAATGCATTAGTGGCTGCTAAGCCTAGACAGGAAGGCAAGCAAGCGGGGGGTTAGAATAAATCGGAGACCTCCAAAGCTAGGTGACACAAGACCACAGATGGCTCGTAGACACCCTCTGCCTCAGCCACGCGTGCAGGAAGCTAGCCCATCAATGCCACACCTTGTCAGCGGGGGATGGTATATAGAGAGAGTTTAAGGCATAGGCACATACCTAGCTAGCAGCCCCCATAGACCCTGGCCGTCATAGGAGCCAGGCCGACACATAGCAGCTATACAGAGGTCTAAGGCCTCTTGAATATTACTCGAGGAGATGTTGGAGCATATATTCCAACAGTAGTCCCCTCCGTTCCAGATAGCATAAAATAAGAAACTAGCTATGCGCCTGCGTTGCAATGTGAACCTGACAGCTGGGAATGACAGGGCCTCGCTGTTTGGGACGAGACATGGCACAGGTGCCAAAGGGCCAACGTCTCGTTCCTTTCTCGTAATAGGCCATCCACGGTAAACGGGGACTCCGGCGGGTGGCCAGCGATATCTAAGTGTGAGGATAAACGGTGTACCGTCATAGCTGTGCGTTGGTGCGAAGGCTAATAGGGGGTTCGGCAGCTGGTACCCAGGCCCTTCCTTGGGAGAGGTTCAATATATATCGATCCTCCCATATTGATCCTCCCGTCCCTCAGTCCCCCCACCCGCACCACTCAAGGCCACTAGCGAATGCGCCTAAAATGGGGGAGTAGAGAAATAGGTACAGTACTTAACATGGTACTCGTCCCCGTCTATAGATGCCCGAAAACAAGGATTGTAGGAATATATGGTAAAAAGTCTGTCTGTGCAGATCTAGGTGTCCATAATAAGCCCAGACCCAAACGTGCGGTACAATCAGGTACGGTAAAAGCCTTTGCGATTCGCCATCTGAGGATTCATGTAAAACCGAGTCATTAGCCCAAGGGGACAACGAGGACCTAAGTGGTCTTAATTCTCAGGGAGCGAAGTGGTAACCAATGCCGAGGCTATCTCTAACGTTGAGGCTACGAGGGCGGTAGACGGAGGCCGGCCCGCTCACAAAGGGGTTGGTATCGGTCGGGCTCCTATGCGACGTGCTACATTACGGACCCGATGCTGACCCCGTTTATTTATATACTGTACTTATTGTACCAAAACTCTCACCTCTCTCCTCGTTCCGTATAGAAGGCAAAACATAACAGCAGGGAGAATGAAGATGCGTCAGCAAGCCGAATGGAGTCCTCATGGTATGCAAGGTGCCATAATGTAATACGTGATTTACCAAGTAATACTATTTCTGGTATTACT